TACGGTCTACGACTGGGGTTTTCGAGTGAGTTGACAGGGAATCGAACTGATGACGATGATGACTTGCGTGATTGGTAAAAGCAGAATTCCTGCCATTGAACCCAACCCACTGTTTGTCGAAATATTTCATACAGCCGTTCGCCTTTTTTAGTTTGAATGAAGAAAGAACGCACATATTTGCTGGCAGGATAATACGACAGCGTCTCCTCCCGTCGATTTTCTCTCTCTTCAACTGCATACATCCTAAACAAAATACGTTATATGATGTTACAAAGTGACAAGGAGTGGGGTGTAGACTTCAGATTTCGTTTGGAAACAAGGATGGACTAGAGACAACATACAAGATAGAACAAGAACAACAGAGTGAATTCATACACATTCATTATGGTGGGGAGATTAGGAGGATGGCCGGCCGGCCGGTCGGTGGGATGAATAGTCAAGTAAAATCATTAAATAGATAAAATAATTCAATTTAGTCTAGATCCCGACCGTTAGTAGTGAGCGAGAGAGTTCAACTCAGTCACTGAGTGAAAATCAAAATCAACATTGAGTGGAATGTTATGTATGTGTATGCAAGAGAACAAAACACGAGAGCACACTAACAAAACAATTATGGTTACTAGACCAGATAGGGTAGTGAGCGAGAGAGATTAGTGAGTGACACTATCTTTCTGTATTCGTAGGTCGGTTCGAAGTATTTTGATGACAGTGTCTTCTGTGAACCGAAGTAACCATGCTTATCTTTATGTATTGATAACTTTGAGAGACCGTGTTAATTAGGTGTCTTGCGAGTTCGCTTGAGAACACTTTGATGCCTTTCACAGGAGGAGACTTTCAGGGATATGCTCGGAGAGTGTAGTAGACAGTTTCCTCTTGGTGATAACATCAGCGAAATAGGAAAACACGACTCCTGAAGAATACAGTAAAAAGGACATCCAGTGAAGCATAGCTACGTTGTCTTTTCACAACTACTCCAATTTTACACTCGAGAAACAAGGATAAGGAACGTAATTTCACCTTAACCACTACTGCGACTACAGCTTCGAAACCATCTACCTTGGGCATACACTTACGCTGGTTCATCATCGTATTTATGCACATCATCCTGCACGGTGGTGAAGCAAGGGACAAACAATGATCTATTCGGAGCTCTACTTGAGCACATTTTGTAGATAGTGAGCATTAAGTTGATATTAATAAAGCAATTATATTTAATTATCGCATTCTAATCAAAATTGCTTTCGCCTTACAAGTTCTTCTTCTACATACAAAAATCAAGTCATGGAAAATTAGCCTGAAGAGACCAGATCTGTGTGCTTGGAAGAAATTCGTTCAGCCACTTCCCCTATCTTGGTCATTGTTATATGAATGTAAAAGAATTGACAATCCCGACCTCGATCTAAGCATCGTACAAGTGTGATCACTGTGCGAATTATATCATTATTCTGATTACTTCATTAAAAAGGCCACATATATTAGAGTATAGCTGTGGTGTGTGCTACTGATGAGATTTATCAGTAGTATATACATATATACATAAAGAGATGTTCATTGGCATAAAGAACATCAGTTGTCAGGGAGACAGACTTGACACGTCAGGGAAAACAAATGATTCAGCGTTGAGGAGATACATGGGAGACGTCAAAGGAAAACAAAAAAATACTCCCAATATGAAGGCCAGAAGTAAGTAACAGGCACAACACGGAAGATCTGTGCAAATGGTGATTTGATGAGAAAGGTGTACACAATTTCGCTACATAGAGATGCCAAATTGACATTCCTTTACCAAGTCTTTCGTCTTGTCAGCGTTACACAGCCACAGATGAGAATTTAACTGAATTCTAAATATTTCTTAACTTAAGCCTTTAATAGTTTAAACAGATCTTTGTTGTATGTTGCATACTCCTAAAATGGGCAATAACCCCTTCAGTTCCGAGGGGAATACAAAGCTCCAATCTCTGAATTTTCAGCAGAGACGAGGTGACATGATTGGCCTCACCCCTAACCTCTCCTCTTTACAAGGCTTAAAACCGGGTAGGCGAAGTTTCGGAGAATCTCATGTGTTTCTGGAGAGTGAGCAGTCTGCAAATAAACAACTGACGCAACGCCTAAAACCTTGAAAAAAAAACTACATTTAGCGATTATCACCCACCCATGGCACCTTTTGTATTTCCCACTCTTTCGGAAGACTGGGATCTCCCTCATCGGTTGGTAATTGTCCAGTTTCGTTAGAGAATCTAATGTTTGTCAAGGTCTCTCTCTCTCTACATATTTATATATGCAAATGCGTATATATAGTTTTGATTGGACACTAGTAACTAGTGTGACGTGTCTAGTCTTTTCTTTGGTGCAGACTGAGCTACATGGAATGGTGACCACATTGCAAATACCTGATTGATAGAATTCAGTCTGCACCAAAGAAAGGACTAGACACGTCATACTAGTTACTAGTGTCCAATCAAAAATACCTACTACAGTCCTACAGGAGGTCAATCGCGAGCCCGAACAGCTCAGTGGTAACGTCTCTGACTACAGGTGGCACTGAGTGACGCGGGTTCGAATCTCAGAAGGGACATGAGTTCCTTGAAGGTTGCATATACGCCTTGCTTATGAGTGCCAACTAGCACGAAACCTAGGTCCAAGGTTTCCTGTGGCCGATTGCCTCCAACTATCAAATATATATATATATATATATGTACATATATATGCTGAATATATATATATATATATATATTCAACATTGCTGTGAAATATTCACACTGATGCTTAAGACAGTAAAAGTACCTTGGATTTCCTCTGATCTTTCCTGGTCTTCTCATATTATGTTAATTTCTACAATATATTTTATTTATTATTCTACAAAAAGAAATTAGGATAATCTGGTATCACAAAGACTCTCTCTTTTTTATTTCTTCAGGTTCCCCAGTGGAACATAGGGCTCCAAGCTAGAGGCCTCCACTTGCTTCTGTCTTCTGCTGTACTTTTCACTTGCATCCATGTTAGTCCATACTGTTTCAGTTCCTCATCGCACGATCTCCTCCATGTCACACTTGCACTGACGTTCCACTCGCCGCTTCCCTACCGGGTTCCACTCGAGCGTTGGCCTGACGCGCGATGTCACCCAGCGGCCACCTCAGCGAGTGTCCAATCCATCTCCACTTTCTCCTGCATATTTGTTGGGCGATTGGTTCTTGTTTCGTTTGTTCCCATAGTTTCTTGTTGGTGATTCTTTCCGGCGGCCAACTGATCTTCAGTAGAGAGCGAAGAAAGTTGTTGATAAAGGTCTGCAACAGGCTGTTGGAAATATTCTTTGTGACCCGCCGCCAAGTTTCTGATCCATCCGTATAGAAGAACTGACTAACTTGACGTTTGTATTGAAAATCCGAATCACTTTGTTGTTGATGCAGGCTGAGTGGCGAAGATTTCCAGATTGATTTCAAGTTGATGAATGTGTTTCTCGCCTTCCCGATTCTCGATTTGACATCCTCGTCCGTTCCACGTGCCTGTGGTTGAGACATTGCTCCCCAGATAAGTGAATGAAGTAACCTCTTTCATCAAATCCCTCCCGTTGATGGTGACTGGCGCTGGATGTTCCTGCTGTTGTTGTTTTTGGTTGGTTGGTTATTTTCACAACCTCGGTCTTGTCTATGTTCACCTGGAGTCCTGTCTTCTCTGGCTGCTTCTTCGACCAGTTTGTCGGTTTTCGCTTGTAAGTCTTCGATTTTGTGTGTGAGAAAATTAGATGCGATATATTTGTATTACATGCTGAAAAATCAATTTTTGTATCTAAAGTACTGTTTGGAACAATGATAGCACTAGACTGACACACACACACACTAAACTAGTTAATGACTAGTGTCCAATCAAATATGTATGATATAGTCCTACAGAAGGTCAATCGCGAGCCTGAATAACTCAATGGTAACGTCTGTGACTGCAGGCGGCTCTGGGTGGTGACGCTGGTTCAGATCTCAGAAGTGACGTGAGTTCCTTCAAGGTTGCAGATACACCACCTTGCTCACCGACTCTTGAGTGCCAACTAGCACGAAACCTAGGTCAGGCAAGGATTCCTGTCGATTGCCTCCAACCATCATTTAATACCAACAGTTCACAGTGCACCATGATGGCGAGCCACCTAGTGGCATGGTGGCCACATTGTAAACTTGGCTGACAACAGAATTCAGTCTGCACCAAAGAAAGGACTAGACTGACGCGCGCGCGCGCACACACACTATACTAGTTACTGAATAGTGTCCAATCAAAGATATTATTTGGTATTTGTCAACAAGCTACCTTCTCTTCGCGAGCCTGACATTATTATTATTGTTGTTGACGCTGCTGTTGTTACCGATTGCAGTAGTTTTTTCACCAGTTTATTAGGTCACAGTACTACAGTCATATTGAAATCAATAACTTTTAATTAGATATAACAATCAATGGTCAACGAGCTTGTCTTGTAACCGAAAAGATGTGGTTGAGTACTGTTGAAGAGCCCCAAACGAGGACGAAACGGCTGTATAGTACTCCATGGTTTTCAGTGATTCTCTGACTAACATCAATCCGTGATCAAACTTAAAACAAGTTGAAATCCCTACAAACTAACTCATGATATAAGAAAGCCAGTCGCTTAGTTGGTAGGACGTTAGGCCTATAATACCACAACCGCTGGAGTTCATGTATATACATTTATACTCATAAATAAAGATTTAATTTTAGTGTAGGCTGGTTACGAATCGATGTCAATTAGAGAATCACTGATCATGAGATGAGACGGCTCACCTCCTTCATTTCAAAAGGGGTCCTCAACCCCGGGAACAACAATAATCAACGTCCACAGATGGAGAATTCTCAAGATGCTGAAGGAAAAAAACAAACACAAATATCAAAAGGATTCCAGCCTGCACGTCCACTTCCAACAATCTAAGACGCAGGTCTACACTAAAAGAAAATCCCCTCAAACTTCATCTTGTAAGAAAAAACAAACAAAACAAGAATAAGGTAATCAGTATTTGGTACTTTTACTATTTGATTATATTAAGATAGATAGATAGACAGACACACACAGACGGGCAAAAGATAAGATTGAAATTATAAACAAAGAGGCTATTGGTTAAATCAGTTAGTCAGTCAACCAATCAAGCAGTCAGTCAGACAATCAGCCAATAATCATTCGATCAGTTAAATGAGTCAATTTTTTTACATGTACAATATACACATATACGGTTGGTTGTATTTTACAGAGACTTTAGAGGTTTTCGCATCATACAACACACGTACATACATACACACAAATACTGTTAGTAATCATAAAAGAAAAGAACTTTTAGCAAATAAAAAGAGAGAGACCTGACAATTATTTTACAATTCATCTTTACGAGGAGTAGGAGTAGAAGTAGAAGTAGTCTGAGAGATGCCAGCTTCATCAGCAGCAGGAGCATGAGGATCAACAGGATGTGAAGGCGGCGGAGAAGATGAAAAAGTCGGAGGGAATATTGTAGTAGACGATAAATCATCATTAGAAATTAATTGAAAGCCCAATTGTAATGTGATCACAATATTATCAGAATTGTTATTGTTGTTGTTGTTGTCGCTGTTGGTAGTGGTGGTGCCTTTATTATTATTCTTATCACTTGGTTGCGCTTGTTCTTGTTGTCTACTAATTGATTTTTCATTGAGATGAAGTAATTCACTTAGACAAGTATTGATTAATTCATAATGTCTCCTTGATATCTGAATTGTTTGATTCATATAATACGGTGAATCAGATGGGCATACTTTATGCAAACTGATTTGTAATACGGCTAACATAAAATGCTGACATTCAGTACTGCAAAACAAAATATAAACAAAATAAAAACTTGATGAGATAGATAAACAACGCCTAGAGAAAAATAATAACACTTTAAAAAAATAGAACTGATAAAGCGTATTTCAGTATATTTGCATGCAGACAGGATAATACGAGCTCGTCTCCTTTCGTCGATTCTCTCTCTCTTCAACTGCACACATCCTTAAACAAAATCAGTTATATGATGTGTTACAAAGTCGTGTCTGAACATGAACATTCTCCTTTTTACACAGTGACCTTCAAATTTTAGACAGAAAGTGTAGGTAGGCATAAGCAACAAAGATGATGTGACTGGACAATTAATTATTCTGTGTTAAAAGAGTAGCTATGTTTATGTATACAGTTTTCTAGAGTTTGGTTTGTAAGGGTTTGTTATGTTTTTACAAGTTGATCACGGACTGATATCAGTTAGAGAACCACTGAAAACCAGGGAGTACTGGACAGCTGCTGTTTCATCCTAGTTTGGGAATCATCGGCAGTAGTTAGACAAGGGTGGGGTGTAGACTTCAGATTTCCTTTTAAAACAAGGATGGACTAGAGACAACATACAAGATAGAACAAGAACAACAGAGTGAATTCATACACATTCATTATGGTGGGGAGATTAGGAGGATGGCCGGCCTGCCGACCGGTCGGTGGGATGAATAGTCAAGTAAAATCATTTAAATAGATAAAATAATTTAATTTAGTGGATTTGTAATCTCAATAGTGAGTTGATCTCAGTGAGTGAAAAATAAAATCAACATTGAGTGGAATGTTATGTATGTGTATGCAAGAGAACAAAACACGAGAGCACACTAACAAAACAATTATGGTTACCAGACCAGATAGGGTAGTAAGAGAGAGAGAGAGATTAGTGAGTGACACAATCTTTCTCTATTCATAGGTTGGTTCGAAGTCTTTTGATGACAGTGTCTTCTGTGAACCGAAGTAACCATTCTTATCTTTATGTATTGATAACTTTGAGAGACCGTGTTAATTAGGTGTCTGGCGAGTTCGCTTGAGAACACTTTGATGCCTTACACAGAAGCATCTTTCAGGGTTATGCTTGGAGAATTTCGCTGATGTTTTCACCGAGAGAACAGTGTCTACTAGATACTCCAAGCGCATCCCTATAAGTCTCCTCCTGTGAAAGGCAGCAAAGTGTTGTCAAGCGCACCCGCCAGACATCTAATTGACACGCTGTTTCAAAATAAACGATACACAAATATACAAAGCATGGTTACTTCGGTTCACAGAAGTCACTGTCATCAAGTGACTGCGAACCAACCTACGAATACACAAAAATAGTGTCACTCACTAATCTCTCTTTCTCGCACTACCCTATCTGCTCTGGTAACCATGATTGTTTTGTAAGTGCGCTCTCGTGTTTTGTTCTCTTGCATACACATACATAACATTCCACTCAATGTTGATTTTGATTTCCACACACCGAGATCAACTCACTATTGAGATTGCAAATCTACTAAATTAAATTATTTTATCTATTTAATGATTTTACTTGAATATTCATTCCACCGAGCGGTCGGCCATCCTCCTAATCTCCCCCCCCCCCACCATAATGAATATGCATGAATTCACTCTGTTGTTCTTGTTCTATCTTGTATGTTGTCTCTATTCCATCCTTGTTTCGAAACGAAGTCTGAAGTCTACACCCCATCCTTGTCACTTTGCAACATCATATAACTGATTTTGTTTAGGATGCGTGCAGTTGAAGAGAGAGAATCGATGAAAGGAGACGAGCTCGTACTATCCTGCCTGCAAATATGTGCGTTCTTTCTTCATTCAAACTAAAAAAGCGAACCGGCTGTATGAAATATTTCAGCACTGAGTGGGTTGGGTTCAATGGCAGGAATTCTGCTTTTGCCAATCATACAAGTCATCATCGTCATCATCAGTTCGATTCCCTGTCAACTCACTCGAAAATCCCAGTCGTAGACCGTAACAAATGAACCCAGTGAGATTGTTAGATTGGGAGGTGGGAGACGTGAAGATAGTAAGTAAGCTCACCCTATAAAAATAACAACACCACTGTTACTGGAAGTTGTTCACAGCTCAAGTCTGTAGGTCTATGTTCCAACTGGAGATACACGAAGCAGTGCACAATAACTTTCACTTTATGATTAGCGATGACAGCCTAGAAGTGGAATGAAGGAAGCGAAGATTCATCCAATTTGAGACTCATCAGCCAGATGCATTTCCACCCTGTAGGAGTTGACAACTAATAATAAAACGTCGGTCAGCAGGAGTTATACACTTCGATGACATGAATGAGTTATTTAAACAATATGAAAAGAAGAAGAGAAGCTAATGATATATTTATGTTGGATGGCAATTCGGGTTAGATTCCTAGCCTAGTTTACTTTACTAGCCAATAGTAAGCGAAGTAAAGAGAGAATGGTTTTGCATGAGGTGGCTCGGAATCCCACCCCGCTTAAGAAACAAACAAGTCTATCGCTATTGAAAACCCGAAACTCCAGAACTCTGTTTTCTACTGGACACGTTAAGAATCAAAATAATAAATAACTTGAGTGATTCTCACTGCTTATTCTTCAAAACTACTTTTCCGTACAAAGCAGTTCTGAAGCATCATTTTACAATCAACACAACTGAACCACATGACAAACGTACTAAGATTCTTCATTAAGGTGTACAGAAGACTCTGTATTTTTTTCAGCGTCTTCCCTAAGAAGGATTGATGATAATAATTGTTTCAAATTCAGTGTTTTATTTTACAGGATGGGGTTGCTGGCCTCATGCCCAACCTTTCCTCTTTAGCAGCATTATTTCTGGATTAGCGAGGTAAAGGAGTGCGTCGGCCGGGGATCGAACCCCGGACCATGTGCATGGTCGGCGAGCGTTCTAACCGCTATACCACCGACGCACAATTCAATTTCACTTAGAGAAGCGTTGAAATCGACCAGAGAGTAGTGAGTACAAGTGTTTCGTCCTGGTTCGATTTTCTTTTTATCTGTACGCATACATGACAACATCGTTAAGGATTGAACCGAACACCTTCAGGTTACGAGGCGAGCTGGTTGTCCATTGTTCATCCTATGGAACGAAATACACTGGCCGATCTATGAATTATAACTTCTACCAATTCGTGATTTTTACCGCCAAGGCTAGCGCCAATATCATCACCGGTGAGTAGTTATCTTCACATCCCACCTGGAGGAGCCCATTGATCACGACTTCTCGCTAGAACTCAAAGCAAATTCATCTTATAGTCAGAAACTAGTGAATATCAAATAAGTATTCGTTGGTATTTATTCCCATTCCCTTCTCCTTTATGAATTTGATTAAAGTAAGAACAACAGTGGTTTATGCAGAATAATAAAGTGGTACCATCATCATTGCCTACTCCGTTGGTTTCTCATCAACTGCTTGCTTACAGCCCATAGACACCATTAAGTATGTCTACAGAAACATTTTTAACATCCTTACATACACAGAGAGTTCACTTTTAAACAAAAATCAATCAATATATCTACACAGTGCTAATGCTAATAATAAATAAACATTTTATCCCAAACAGCAATAATAATCATACAAGTATTGGTTTGTAGGGATTTGGTTGATTGGTTACAGGATTTCATCATGAGCTGACACTGGTTAGGGAACCATTGGAAAACCTTCGAGTACTGGACAGCTGTTTTGCCCTAGTTTGGGACTCTTCATCAGTACGCACCCACCACCAGGGTTGAAATGCTCACTGGCAACTGGCCCTATTCAGGTAGGTAATTACCTGGGGTTCCAGTGGGACGTCGTGACCAGTAAGGTGCAGCAGGTCGGGTGTGAGGACAAATACTCGCCGCAAATGACATTGGCTAGCGGTTGCGCTATATCGTGAATTGGCAGAAGTTAGAATTTATGGGCTGACAACTGGATTAGGTCCCAGTGGCTTAATAGTCTACGAGCTGGCTGGACTTTTAACCAGAAGGTCGAGGGTTCGAACCCTCGTGGTGGGTGCGTACTGATGAAGAGTCCCAAACTAGGCTGACGAAACAGCTGTCCAGAACTCCCTGCAGGTTTTCCAATGGTCCTCTAACCAGTGTAAGCTCATGATGAAATCCTGTAACCAAATAATCATACATACTGGAATATATTGGTGTTACGTAATCAGATGAAAGAGAGAATGAAAAAACCCAGTTATTAGACTCGTCAAGGAAACACTGATAACCGCTTCTTTCTGAACACACACACATATAAATCGAGGTGCAGGCGCTTGATGGAAATTGCTTCGGCAAAAACTTAAGGAGAATTGAACACTTTTGCCTATTGATAATTTTGAACAATCTTGCGACAAGGAGATGTCTGGCGATGGCATTGTTGCAAGCATGTTCCCAGCTGGAGACGTAGGCTTTTTGGTACATGCTAAGAAAATCGGATGTATGTCCTTCTTTTTTTCTCTGTTCTCCCAATGTAACTGCTCCCACAGATACATGTAAATTTGTATACACGCATACACACAGTTGGAGTTACCATGAGAGAAGTCTCTATCGACTTTCGATTGCATCAAAGAGCGTGCTGCTGTTCGATAGACAGGAACCAGCATAGCTGCACGATAGGCTGTGATTAGTGACGTCCTCAATTTTCTGTTAACAATTGCTGTAATATCTGCACCTTTAAAAAAACCAAGTTGAATGGAGATAGGTCTTTTTCCTAGTGTGATTTGTTTGGCACTAGAGCTTTCATATCTTCCTCTGAGGGTAACTATTTGTTTCTCAACATTTTTTCAAAAAAATCAGAAATTCTTCCTCTAATTTCAGTCCAGTACTCCCTGGTTTTTAATAGTTCTCTCTCTCTAACTGATAGCAATCTGTGACCAACCTTCAGATAAATCGAATCTCGATAAAACTAATAATAGTTATTATTTAATTTCAGTTTGATTTTCGATTGAAATTTATAAATAATATAGAGAGAAATCATCCACTTACTTCAATTTAATTTGTTTTAATGTAGTATCGAATAAATCCCGCCAAATTGAAATATCTTTTGGTGATCCTTTAATCACAGTATTATTATTATTATTATCACCAACAAAGATACTATCATTATTCTCGTTAATTGGTAGAAAATAACTTGATCTTTCTAAATCATTATTGATAGAAAATGTGAATGACCAAGATAATGGATTTATGGAGTCACTTGGTGTTGTTTCTGTCCTTGTGACATCATCATCTTCATCTGTCTCAGAATCACTTCCAACCGATGATGATCTGGGAGACTCAGAAGTCGAAGAAGAAGAAGGGGAAGTAGACGAGGGAGAAGATGCAGATGAAGTTGGAGAGACAGAATCCCTGAGATGAAACATATCTGAATTGTTATTATATGATATAGAAAATCCAATTGTGTCGGAAATTTTATTCAAATGAAGCGTTTTCATTGACACTGATGAGGATTGGTACAGATGGCTAATCAGTTGGAAAGACGTATGAGTATCTCCTACGATATTATTATTGAGCGGTAGTTTCTCCTGTTCCCTCTGTAAGCAAAAACCAAAAAACAAATAAGGGTACACATACTCCTATCAATGAACAGAACAGAAATTTAGAATGCAAACTAAATAAAAATTGGAATCTTATTCATGATTCGCCCTGTGCTATTTTTTTTGTTGTTGACCGAATTCAAGCAATGCGTCAATATTTGCTTAATAGGACTTCAAACCAGTAGAATTCATTCAAGATGTATGCATCTATGATGAGCTTGAATGTACTAATGGACTTAGCCCTAAGTGACTTCAGCGACTCAGGGATTGACTTGATACCACCAGGGAATAATGTGGTTGACTTAGAATATGCAGATGATGATGTAGTCCTCACTCTAAGGTGAAGACGCTGACAAAAAATACAGCAGAGTCTTCTGAACACCTTCAGCTGCAATCTACAAATGTTTGACATGCGATTCGCTCCTGCTATCAAATGTAAGACGATGCTACAGGACTGGACTACATTGACTCACATCTAGCTTAGAAATAGGAAGTGAAGTGTTAGAGCACACGTTGACCACTTCATTTGTTATTTGGGAAGTTCCATCAGCTAACTAACGTCAGCGGGTTAATGGCTGACGAAATCTCTTCACAGATACAGAAGGCTCGTGTGGCATATGCCAACTTACGCCATCTCTGGCTTAGTAGATGTGATATCCAGGTGGGTGTCGACCAAAGGACGTCTGTATTGCTCAGCAATCAGTTCGCCCCGTCTTCCTTTATGGTTGTGAAAGAGATCTGGTCATTGAGAGTGGAAGACGTGAAAACACCAGCTAGCTGTCTTTGATCATAGGTATCTGCGTTCTATCTCACATGTGAAGTGGTATAATAAGGTGAGCAATATTGAGGTTAGGCCATCGGTCGAGTGCTAGGTAAGGAGGGAGGGGAAATCAATCGACGAGACTGTGAAGCTACACCGACTCAGACGGTTAGGAAATGTGTTACGCATGTCTAGCCATCGTCTTCCTCGACTGATGGACTATGTTAGCTGGTATAGGGTCAGGCTGGAAAAGAATTAGCGGCAGTCAAACCAAAACATGGCACCAATCAATGAAATCCACAACAGTTAGTTTAAGTTAGCCAGTCACGTAGGGAGGAAGGTGTAGACTTCCTAACTGGCTGATTGGGGTCCTCGGGACGGTAAACACCAATGAAGGCTGGAGACAATTGGTGATATGGCTCAAAATCCTCGTTCTCAACAACTGGCGCGGATGCATACACTCCTTGTGACTTATACTACCCAATGAAACTATATTGTTCTTCGTTATTACTATTCCTTTTGTCTCATATCTACGTTTACTGTTTCTATTTCGCATTTCTTCTACTTTCTTCTGTTGCTTTGTGTGCTACAAGGAGGGAGTTGTGAAACAAAAACACAATTAAAATCTGTACTTGTTGCCTTAGGAGAGGTGGTGACACTATGGCTTTTGAATTGATAACTTTCAAGGTTCGAGTCTTAATGGAACGTTGAGTTCGTCAAACTGATGAGTCTGTCTGTCTGTTTGTTTATTTTCAACATGGAACTTTGCACCGATGTGCAGCAGTTCAAGTCGCCACACTCCCTCCATGTAGCAAACAAAGCAAGAGAAGAAATGCGAAATAGAAACAGTAAACATAGATATGAGACAAAAGGAATAGTAATAACGAAGAACGAAACAGTTTAATTGGAAATCATAAGTCACAAGGAGTGGATGCATCTGCGCTAGTCATTGAGAACGATTTTGATCCATGTCACCAATTGTCTCCAGCCTTCATTGGTGTTTACCGTCCCGAGGACCCCAATCAGCCAGTTAGGAAGTCTACACCTTCCTCCCTAGGTGACTGGCTGACTTAAACTAACTGTTGTGGATTTCATTGACTTGTGCCATGTTTTGGCAGATATCTTTATCAACTATGTCTTCTCCATGTTCACTTAAAGTCTTGTCTTCTCTGACTGCTTCTTTTGCCAACCTATTGGTTCTTACCTGTAGGTTATTTAACACCAACGCTTCTTCTATCTGTTTCATTCCAGCGTTCAAGTCTTTTTTGTGCTACTTAATGTGCTACTGCACGGTTTGTTAGACAGACACTTAACTAAGCCTGCCTGCATATACAGTTAACGGATGAGATGAATTAAAGTCTAAATATCTATTGGCTGAATGCGTCGGCATTTTATAAACGCCGCTAGTGTGTAGTTTACCTTCGTATCATCGAAGCCCAGTGTTCCACTAGGAACCTAAGGGAATATTAATAATAAATAATAACAATATAATATCGTGCACAATTAAACATTGCTTCCTCTGCATAAATCACAGAATAAACAGGTATAGTGTTGATATAAACTCACAATGATTTCCGTATTCATTATTGACAGAGCTGTATTGAACGAATCTGTAGAAGAGACGAAAGGCAAAAAAAACAAAAAATTAAAACCTGGTCATTTGATCACAATCTTTCTTGTTACATGCATAAAAAAATTACTTCATCTATTAGACAAGTGCTGAGAAGACATTCAAATGAGAATCCGAATAGAAGGTAAGGCAATGAGTTTCGCATGGGACAGACAGTGACACAGACAGATCACATTATTAGTATTATTGTTTCCTTAAATTCCTAGAGGAACATAGAGCTTCAGCTGCGCGTTTCCATTGCGTTCGGTTCTCTGCTAGAGTTTTCACCTGGCTCCAAGTCTGCCCATACGCTTTCAATTCTTCTTCACATGATCTCCTCCAGGTCACCCTTGGACGACCAACTCGTCGCTTCCCTTTCGGGTTCCACTCGAGCAATGGCTTGTCTAGTGATGTCACTTGCTGGTTTCCTCAGAGTATGGCCAATCAAATCCATCTCCATTTCTTCCTGCCTATTTGTTTCACAATCGGTTCCTGCTGGGTTGGTTCTCTTCCAGAGATCTCTGTAGCTGATCATTTGTGGCCATCTGATCTTGAGTATTGAGCGAAGACATCTGTTAATGAAGGTCTGTAGCTTGTTTGAGGTGCTTTTTGTGACACGCCAAGTCTCTGATCCGTATAGTAGTACTGACTTCACATTGGAGTTGAAAATCCCGATTTTATTTTTGACGCTGAATGATGTTGACCTCCACACAGACTTGAGAGTAATGAAATCTTGTCTTGCTTTGATATCCTCATCAGTTCCGCCTGTAGTTGAAACGATGCTTCGCAGGTCGATAGGTAAAAGAGGTTGTTTCTTTCAGGTTCCTCCCATTTATGCTGATCGTTGTCTGTTGTTGTTGCTGTTGGTGGTGTTGGCCAGGAATCTTCATCACCTCTGTTTTCTATATGTTAACCTGAAGTCCTATCTTTGATGCTTCTTCTGCCAACTTGTTGCTTTTCGTTTGCATATCTTCTAGTTTGTGGGAAATCAGACATATGTCATCATCGGCGAAGTCCAGATCCTCCAAGTTCATTTTTTGTGTGAGTCAATTTTATGCCTGTTTCCTCATTTCCCGTCCCGCTGTTTGTTGCATTATCCAATCTACTGCAATCATATGTGAATAGGAAATTAAAGAGTGTAAGTGTGGTTGTAGAGTCAGCTGAAAGTGGTTGCAGAGAATCAAGTATACAGTGAAGAGGTTCTACTGAAAAAATCACGAGGAATGAGTACTAATCAATTCGACAGGGATTCAAATCCCGCTAAACTCATTTCAATTGTCAAGCAATAAAAATGCGACTGATATCCACCCAAGTCCAGTTGGAAAATTCTTTTCAATGCGCGCCTCAGTTCTAGATTCGAACTATATTATAATATTATTAGTATTAGTATTCCATTGGGTTCCGGGTGGAACGTAAGGCCTCAATAGAACACTATGGGTAAAATTTGTTTTGATAAAGTTTCACAGTGTTATAAAGTACAGTAATATTTACTGATGACCAGGTTTCGAGTACAATTTATTGCTACTGGTCATAATCATATCAAGGCATTACCCACACACTTCTTCTAACTCCGTTTATATAATTCCATCATTATTTTCCATCGCTTGACTTGATCGGTACTAGTATTCTCTCTAGCTTCTTGACACATATAAACCCACTAGTAGAGGGAATAAAATTCATATTTGAATCGGAAAATGAACAAGGAGAATCAGCTATGGTGTTAGATTGTAAAATAAAACGAATAGAAGAAGGTAAACTACACACTAGTGTTTATAAAAGACCAACGCATTCTGCTAATAGATATTTAGACTCGAATTCATCTCATCCTTTAACTGTTAAGGCAGGCTTAATTAAATGTTTAACAAACCGAGCTATGGCACTAAGTAGCACAAAAAAAGACCTAAATGATGAAATAAAACAGACGGAAGAAGCGTTGGTGTTGAATAACTAACTATCCTATAAAATTCATTAGAAAGATGGAAAAAGGCCAAAAGCAAAATAAAAATAATTGTGAAACTGGTAATGATAACATAAATATGAGAGAAAATAAGGCATCTACTGTTATACCATATAAGAAGGGAGGGGACATCTAAGACTTTACGTAGGATTCTTAATAAAGCAGGAATTAGGGTGGTGGCATTTAAACCTACAAACTCACTGGGGCAGGGACAAGCTCTCTAGGCTAAAAGACCCTGTCGGTTGACCCAATTGAACAAAATAATATAATTTACAAGATGCCTTGCAATGGCTGTCAGGTCAAATACATAGGTCAAACTAGTAGGTCAGGAGTTGTCAGATTGTCGGAACATAAGAATTTAGCTAAGGTGAGAATGTTTGACCCCGAGAAGATAAGTAATTCAGAAAAAAGCTCAGCGATCGCACTACATGCATTAACACACAACCACACTAAATGAGGTGGGAGAGGGTTAAAATTCTAAGAAATAATCTGTGTAGGTGGAGAGAGAGGTTGATTACTGAATCCTTGTTCATCGAATAATCTACACCCAACACGTGCAACAGGAATAACTCATCACTCATACCGGAAATATGGAAAATACTACTACCCATCATCAAGTCAAGCCCATAGAACATAATGATGGAATTATATAAACGAAGTTAGGAGAAGTGTGTGAGTAGTGCCTTGATATGATTATGAACAGTAGTAATAAATTGTGCTGCAAACCTGGTCATCAGTAAATATTTCTGTACTGTATAACAACACTGTGAGACTTTATCAAAACAAATTTTATTCATGATGGAGCTATATACTACCAATGTGCACAAGTTTTATTCTTATTTCAATAAAACACGCCCATTTTTTATCCAGATCTCAGCAATCGTCTTTAGCTGGCTTCACGATCGCCTATAAGCGCTCTTATCTCCTGCTTTCACGATCTCCTCTACATCATTCTCAGACAGTCAACATATCGTTTTTCATTGGAGTGTCCGGTACGTAGCATCTCATTCAATGGTCTCTTCGGCGCGTGTTCTATTCAACTCAGTTTAATTCGCAATATATTTGTTTGGCAATAACTTCTTAGTTGGTCTGTTATAAGAGTTCTCAGTCGAAATTGTAACCAATGAACTGAATTCTTATTATATATATATATATATATATATATATATATTCAAACCAAGTTCACTTTTAACAGTTTCAAATCAGTTGTTTCAAGTCACTGCTCAACAGTCCGCTCCGTCCTCCTTTATAGCTGTGAGTGAGACCTGGCAATTGACAGTGGAAGACATGAAAAGCCTGGCTAAGCTGTCTTTGATCATAGGTGCCTGCGTTCTATGTCCCGTGTGTGTGAAGTGGTATAATAAGGTGAGCAATATTGAGGTTAGGCCATCGGTCGAGTGCTAGGTAAGGAGGGGAAATCAATCGACGAGGCTGTGAAATTACATCGACTGAGATGGTTAGGATATGTGTTACGTACACATGCCTAGTCATCACCTTCCTCGACAACTGCCAATGTCAGCTGATATAGGGCCAGGCTGGAAAAGAGCTAGCGGCGGTCAAACGAAAACATGGCACCAGTCAATGAAATTCACAACAGTTAGTCTAAGCTAGCCACGTAGGAAGATGTAGAATTCCTGGTTGGTGTCCTCGGGACGGTAAAATCCAATGGTTGGAAACAATTGGTGACATGGCTCAAAATCGTTCTCAATGGCTAGCGCAGATGCATCCACTCCTTGTGACTTATGATTTCCAATGAAACTGTTTTGTTCTCCGTTATTACTATTCTTTTGTCTCATATCTATGTTTACTGTTTCTATTTCGCATTTCTTCTACTTTCTTCTCTTGCTTTGTGTGCTACAAGGAGGGAATGTGGCGACTTGAACTGCCGCACATATGTGCAAAGTTCTATGTCGAAAACCGACCGACCGACCGAGTCACCTTAGACGAGCACCCTTTCTGATGTTAGCGGATGAAAAAGAAGAGGAAGAAGAAATATCGAACAATACTGAAACTCTCAAGCACAACAACCACACAAAGAACCTCATCAACAAATAGACAAAATCTGCGTTAAGGAGAAATGCGACCCTACGAAATATTAAAATTATCAGCTTCCCTTCTCTAATACTAACTCGTCTCAAACAAATTGCACAACGGCGGACAATATTCATCAGTCAACCTGCTAAAGCTTTTTAAACTCATCACAACACCACGTGAACAAATCCTCTCCTTCTTAAGCAACCGAAAATCCAGACAATACTGCAAAACCTTATCCTCCTTGAACTGCAAGCGTAACTTTGTTAGAGCACGCACTAGAAACGAACCAAGCGCTATACAACATTATTGAACTCACGTTCATGAACCTCATTGGACCATACGACGTCGTTCGCTGATTGGTAGTTATATTTTATATTTTTCCCTTGACGTTCCCCAGTGGAACATAGGGCTTCAATCTAGTGGCTTGAAGTTTCTGTAGCAATGTTTATTTTTACAGGATGGAGTTGCTAGCCTCATGCCCCCCAACCTTTCCTCTTCACCAGTTTTATTTCTGGCTTAGTGAGGTAAAGGAGTGCGTCGGTGGCCAGGGATCGAACCCCGGACCATGTGCATGGTCGGTGAGCGTCCTAACCGCTGTGCCACCAACGCACTGACTGGTAGTTAGTGGTGCTTAAAGTTGAACTTAGCCAAAATATGTACATTTTCAAGTGTAAGTTGTATTATCTCTCTCTCTCTTGTTTTCACATAACAAGGATGATGATGATGTTTAGTTACCTCAACCTACTACTCCCCTAACTCCCTCCACCATCCCGAGAGTGCAGTGTGAATCAGTATTAGTTATTGATTGTATTATTATTATTATTAAATCAATACGACCACTATAAAGCAATTTCAGCTAGTTTACATCTCATATGATACAAATACATACACACAAAAACAAACGCACACATACACATACACACATGCACACACGTATCAACATGAAGTAGCTGGATTGACTGAGTTGAGAATAAATTGAAAAGAAAAAGAAGAAACGGAGAGAAATCACC